TGATTAAGAACCCTATGTCTGGAGGCAGGAAGCAGGGGGCCAAACCCTGGCTTCACCATCTCCTCCCTGGGTGTGGTAACCTGCACTCCTGTTTCCTCAACTGTGAAAGGTGGTAAAATAATATGTACCTCACAAGCCTCTTGTGAGCATGGGACAATTTCTGTGGTACTTAGAGTTGTCGTGCTTAGAGCTGCCTGGTGTGTCATTTTGGTGCTGTCATGACTGTGAATATAATTTACATGAGCATGGAAAATGTGCAGGAAAAAGTACACCCTCATCCCTCATTGGGGACCTCAGGTGTGCAGAGCTGGAGGGGGCAATTAACCTCTGCAGAATTCAATTTGTTACAACTAGTGTGTTTCTTGAAAGTTTTTTTTTTTTTTTTTTTAATATGGGGACTGGGTTTTTTAATATGGGGACTGAGGGTTGAACGCAGAAGCCTTCTACCACTGACTGAGCTACACCCCAGGCCTTTTTATTTTGCTTTGAGACAGGGTCTCGCCAACTTGCTGAGGCTGGCCTCAGACATAATTGCCTCAGCCCCCCAAGTTGCCCCCCAAGGGCACTTTTTAAACTTTTTAAAGATTCACTAAAGTGGAAGGAAAACAGGAAGAGGAAGCCAGACAGTCTGCCCCGAGTTCTCCATGTGCTCCAGGGAAGGCCTGGGAAAGGAGATGCGGGCAGGGCAGGGGTCTGGGGAAAGCCCTCTGCCCCACAGGAGATCTGAAGCCACTCAGAGGCCAAGGCAAGCGGCTGCTGCTTTCTGGATTCAGTTGACTCCTCTCCAGGATGGAGCTCCCAGTGGCACACATGAAAGGCATGGTGCTTACTACCAAGGGCAGACCTGAGTCTGGGTCCCAGTGATGTTTATGTGTCACTGTGTGCCAGACATCCAAGAGCCCTATTCTGCTCAACCCATTTAATTCCTCCCCAACCCTCTGCGCTGAGACCCTCACCTTATCATCCCCGCATTGCAGATGGGGAAACTGAAACACTGAAAGATTACATCATTTGCCAGAGCTCACACACCAGAAAGTGCCCAGAATTCCAAGGTGGGCAGCTTGGTCCTGAATTCTAGTTCGGGACCACTGGGCTCTAGGGCCTGCCTATATGTTTTGTTAATTATCCCTCTTCCAACCTCATTTTATTCAGCTGTGACCATTACTCACCTCTTTGGATGGCTGCAAGGGTTAAATGCGCCTTTGGGCCTGTGAAAAGCATTTTTTTAAATGGGAACCTTTGTTAGCTCAGTCCCTGCAGGAAGGAAGAGATGTGCCAAGGCCCTGGGCCCCTCTCCCTCCTGTGCAAGTTCCTGGTAAGTTATCCAATACCCGCCCCTAGCGAAGCGCCCAGGGCTCTGCGCCCATCCCCACCTGACCCAGATTCACCGCCCGACCACACCGCATCCTGTGGGGCCCTACCAAAGGAGGAAGTTGGAAACCGGGGTCCCGCGTGATTGACCCAGGAAGTCCTGCAGGGGTGTGAGGCAAGCACTTCCCAGCTGCTGTACTCCAGCAGATAAAGGTGGCCCGCCCGCTGCCAGGTCCTAGCCCGCTCTGCGCGCCCTGCCCGCCATGTCCCGCCCCTGCGCGCTGCTCGCCTGGGCCCTCCTCGCCCTCTTCGGACTAGGAGCAGCTCAAAATAAAGAAACCCCAGCCTGCTGCGGCCCCATCGTGCCCCGGAGTGAGTGGGGGGCCCGGCCGTCGGAGTGCTCCCAGCCCCTGAGACAGCCAGTGCGCTACGTGGTGATATCGCACACTGCGGGCAGCAACTGCGACACCCCGGCCTCCTGCCGGCAGCAGGCCCAGAACGTACAGCACTACCACGCGAGCACGAGGCGCTGGTGCGACGTGGCGTACAAGTGAGTGCGGAGGGAGGCAAGGCTGAACTGGGACCGTAGGGGACAGGGGTGCAGTCGTGAGCCGGTGGACCTGGTTATAGATCTGGTCCTGGAGCCACCTGGCTGAGCTCTCGGGGGTTGTGGTTTCTCCCAGGGTCACCACCCAGGACTGGACAGGTAGGTGCAGACAGCAGCAGATGCTCTGAGGACCTCAGGTCCCGGCTCTGATGCCCAGAGGAGGGGGCAGACAGACTGTCTCATGCACCAGAGATCCTCTCCACCTCCTCCAAGGAATCCCTTCACAATGGCTGGCGCCTTGTCAGGAGGCTGGAGTGTTAGGCCAGGCTGGGCTTAGTGCTGCCTGAGACCCAGCAGATCCCTCCCCAGCCAGGACAGGTCCTCTCCCCTTCAGCCCCCCTCTCTGTAGTGAACTGGGCTTAGGCCAAATGCACGGGAAGCACTTAGCATATCGAAAGAGCCCAAAACCCATGCCTTATGAACATTAAGCACCTACTGTGTGTCTGTCTTGTGCAGAAGCTGGAGCCAGACTCCCCAGAGGCGCCTTCAGAAGGCTGGCTGGAGGAAAGGACCTGAGAGGATGGCTCTGGGATGGGGGGCTGAGGGAAGCTGCAGGGGGAACAGGGGCAAATGCTTTGAAGCCCAGTGGGCAGATCACACCTGAATGGCAGAATGGCGGGACACTGGAAGGGGCCTGGTGGGCCAGTGAGGATTTTGGTTTTTACTCTGAGAGGGAACCACGGAGGGGAGGGGGAAATTAGATGCATCCAGGCAATAAACACACAGAGCCCGTGACAGAACCATCACGGGCCAGTCCCCACAGCCAGCATCATTAGAGTATTTCTAGTCTCTGTAAAGGCAGATTCTGTGAGCTGGCTTCATAAGGGGCAGATCCAGGAGTTGGATTCAGAAGTTCCAACATTCTGTGTATCCTCAGTGACTCTGTGACCCAGAGAGCTGAGTCCGAAGATAATGCAGTTCCAAGGTGTGACCTTCCAGTGAATTCCCTGGTGCCGGTCAGACTTGCTCAGTCAAGACATGTTCAATGAGTGAATCTTTAGGATCTGCAGCCAGGATTGGAAACCCCAAAGAAGCAGATGTGATCCCAACCCTTGAGCCCCTGATTCCGAGGGGCAAGTGCCTATAGGGGCAGGACCCTGTGAAAATCATGTGGCTTTCTGAGTCTTTGCTCTTCAGCTTAATGTGGCAAAGACACCTCAGAGGGTGGTCTTGTGAGGGTTCAGCAAAGTAAGGGTTCAACAAATCCAAAAGGCAGGCAGGAAGAACAAGGAATAAGACCATGAGGATGGGCATCCTGGAGACCCGAGCAAAACTCTGGCTCTGCCTGACTGTGACCTTGGACAGGAGCACCCACTCCCCCAAATCTCTTTATAATGTGGGGTGGCAGTGACCCATGGATTGTATGGGAATTTAAAAAAAAAAAAAGGTACACACAGAGCTGTGCTTGGCATGTGGCAGGGGCCACAGTGATTGTTCTTGTGGAAAACTAGAGAATGAGGAGGGGGTACTGGAAATTGCACGTGCTGTGGCAGGAACAGGGTGGGATGAATGAAGGAGGGAAGCCCTTCCTCCTCATCAAGTCTGACCCCCCCACGCAGCTTTCTGATTGGAGAAGATGGGCTCGTATATGAGGGCCGCGGCTGGAACATCAAGGGAGAACACACAGGCCCCACCTGGAACCCCATTTCCATTGGCATCACCTTCATGGGCAACTACATGGGTGAGTCACTGTCCAGAAGGCTGGCATGGGCTCAGGGCATGGGGCAGCAGGTGGAAGGTGGCTGAGAGGTTCTGCCACTTACAAGATCTGTGACCTCGGGTAAAGGATTCCATTTCCTGAGCCTCATCTACTCCTTGAGTAATGGTGGGAGCCGCAGGGTGGGAAGGAGGAGTAGCTGATCTATACACCCAGTCCAGATGTGGGTGCTGGCTATCAGCATGGGCAGAACACAGAGGAGGGAGAATAAGCAATAATGATTAGGGCAGCCAGTGCTTGCTAAGGCTTCTAGGGATGTTCCTTGGGTTTTCCATAAAGTAGCTGCCATTACTATCTCCTTTCATGAAGGAGCAAACAGGCCAGAGAGGGCCCCATTCACCCTACCTCATACTATACTACTTCTGTCCTTCAAGGAAGCCCCAGACTAACTTCTGCATCTATCCCTCCAGAGCGGGTGCCCCCACCACGGGCCATCCGGGCAGCCCAGAGTCTGATGGCCTGCGGTGTGGCTACAGGAGCCCTGAGACCTGACTATGAGATCAAAGGACACCGGGATGTGCAGCAGACACTCTCTCCAGGTGACCAGCTCTATGCAATCATCCAGAACTGGCCACACTACCGCGAGTGAGGCCCTGCTTGTCAGCCCCCTGCCCCATGCCTCTCTCCCCAAGAGCTGGGAAAACCCCTGCCTCCTCCTCCTCCAATAAAGATGCAGCTTGAGAGGCTGAGGCAGGAGGATCACAAGTTCAAGACCAGCCTGGGCAACTTAATGAGATCCTGTCTCAAAATAAAATAAAAAGGCCTGGGGATATAGCTCAGTGGGAGAACACCCCTAGGTTCAATCCCCAGTACCTCCACATATATAAATAAATAAATGCAACTCCAACTGTGTTCCTGAACTGGCCCCCCCCCACATGCCCTGCTCCTCCCTCCCACGAGGTCCCAGCATCACCCTTCCTCCCAGCACTCTGCCCTTGATGGTGCTCAGAACCCAGAGGCCCCGACCCTGAACCAAGACCCCGGAGATCCCAGCTCGGAAGCAACATCACAGCTCAGAACCCAGAGGTCTCAGGTCAGAGCCCAGGAATCAGCACCAAGTAGGTTCAGATGTCACCACCAGCAGCTCAGGGGGCTTCCCAGGCAGTGGACCATGCTGCAAGACACCCCTTCCCCACCACACCACCAAAGACATCCTGTGCAGAACATCCTGCTTGAACTCCTTTGGAGCTGGATGGCTTGCTCCCACTCCTCAGGTCTCCCCTTGCATTGCTTGAGAGAAGGTAGAAGTTCTTCCTGAGCTTGAGCCCCCATCTGCCTCCAGACATGTCCAGAAATACCCACAGATCCCAATTACACACCCCCTCCCCCTTTCTATTCACTCCACCCCCACCCTTCAGTCATAAGTTGAGGGGTCCCAAGGACAAACAAGTTTATTTACAAAACACACATACCCTATCTCCCAGCATGCACTGCCTGGAGAGTGGGTGGGGTCAGGGCTTCACAAACCTAAGACCTCAGGAGCACCTGGAGGGGTGGAGCCTGGGTGGGGCTGGAAGGCCACCCTGGCCCTACCCCACACCATACCCACTGGTGAATGGTGGTGGAGGGGCAGTACCACCTCTCCATGGTCATGACCGGGTGTCCAGTCGATTCATGTATTCTTGCAAGGCCTTCAGGCGGGCATCTATTTCAGCCATATCAGCCGCCTGGTGGTCGGAGCTGTACTCTGTGAGAGCAGGCATGGGTATGGGGGGCTATGAAGGGCCTGCAGCCAGAGGGAGCTCAGGGCCCATGCGCTGCCCTCAGTCCCTTCCCTGCAGGATCTGGGGCTGGTGCACTCACCTTTGATGGGGACCCAGCCCCCTGAATTTGCCAGGTGTCTCCGATGATTACTGTGTTCCTGAGAGGTGCACTTCTGGTGATGGGAAAACAAGAAAGCAACAAAGGGGATCAGGCACCTTCCCTCTGTTCTTGCCCCCACCCCAACCCCAATTCCACTGGAATTTCTAAAACCAAGGACCTCAGGGGAAATAAGGGCTGACACCTACTGGGCACCAAAATATCCTCCTGTGTCATCACAAGGACCCTTTAAGGGAACCATCCTTGATTAAGAAAGTGCAACCCAGAGATAAGTAATGAGTATTTCCAATCATTCAGGTAGAAAGAGCCAGGTGTGAAGACCTGGCAATTTGGACCTAGATCCTGTGTCCCCCACTATTTCTCTCCAATCCCACAGTGGCAAAACACCCTGTTTTTAGAGGCCTTTCAGAGTCACCTCTGCAACCTGATCCCAAGGAGGGAATCATGGGAAACTGGGACAGCTGGCTGCCAGGAGCTTAATGCTAATCACCTCTCCTACTCCAAGGCCTGGGAGAGACACTCACCATATTGGACGCACTCCACGGTGTAGGGCTGGGTGGTTTCCCACGGCCGCAGCGAAGGCTGAGAGAGGAAGGTAATCAAGGACCAACGTGGAGTCCTTGCTACAGCCCACCTGCTCCGCCTTTGAAGTTTTAAGAACCACCACCCCCCAGCCTCCATCACCCAATTTCCCTGCAAAAGAAGGTTTCCAGTCTCCCCAAACACCCTTTCGAGATGATCCTACCAGGATCCAAGTTTTACCCTCTGGAGAGTGACTCAGAGAAATCTTCGAACTCGCTGCAGGAGCTGGCAGAGGAGCAGCGGCTGCGGAAACTGTCCACTAGAGCGAGAGGCAGGTGTGAGTCCCCTGCAATCGCCAGCCCCGCCCCGCCTGCCCCCAGCTCCAAGCCCGTTACCCGAGGAGCTGCGGTTCCGGGAGCGGTTAGCTGAGTCCCCACGGCCAGTCACGGCAGCTGGGGGCCGGGTCTGACGAGACCATGAGATGGAAGGGCCATCCCCGCTCCCTCCACTACCCAATCGGTTCCGCTGCTGCTGCTGTTGCCTGAAAAAAAAAAAAAAAACGAAAAGGAGACGCCCCGCTGTGCGCCCAACTAATGCAGGAAGGGCGTCGCTGCCAGAGCCGATGATCCACCAGAGGTAACTTGTCCTGGGAGAGGAAAAAGATGCGGGAACCCAGACCAAGTTGGGGGTGGGGGAGGGAACAAGTAAGCAGTTCAGTAAGGGGTCAGGAGAGGAGGTGGGGTCAGGTGAGAAGTGGGAACGGAAAAGGGGAAGAGGAGACATGCTGCAGGTGACAGGAGACAGAGGCTGATAGGAGGCGGGGACACCAGTGGCAAGAGAGTAAGCACAGGTTAGGGAACCAGTACCGGAGGGGAATAAGGGCAGGGAAGAGAGAGAATGCGCACTAACTTCATCCTGATCTCTTTCTGCTTCTTCTCCTTTGCTTTCACAAAGGCCGTGGGGTCGAAACGGGTCACACGACCACCTATGCCAGTGTGGGCAAGTGGGGAGAGGAGGCTGAATCAGGCTCTCACAACGGTAGTCTGTTCCGCCTCCCCCCAAGGCAGGGCAGGGCAGGGCAGGATGGGTGGAGAGAGACCTGTGGGCGAAGGCGAGGGGCGGGCAAGTCGGCCTCGACCTCGGATCCCATGGCCGCTCTCCCGGGATGAGGAACGGGCGGCGGCGCGGCCACGAGACGTGGAGCGCTCCCGGGACGATGAAGCCCGGCCTTCCCGGGCTGGGGGAGGCACCGCGGGTGAAGACCGCCTCCTGAGAGCACAGGATGGGCTATTAGTTTCCGCAGGACAAGACAACCCCAGCCTTTCTCTGAATCCCCAGGCCTATCCCCACCAATTCCTGCAAGTTCACGCTGACCCACCGGGCACTCTCCGCCGCGCTCCGCCTCTCCCAACCCCACAGACGCCTGTCACTTCCCTACATAACATTCACGACTCTTTTTCCCAGGCCTCCCACAGACCCCTGAAAACCCTTCCCAATTTTCTTCCACCCACCCCCATAAATGCTGGCACTATCTTCCTGATCCCACAGATGAGCCACACCTGGTCGCTCCGCACAATACCTTGGCCCTTCCCCTCAAGTCCTGCCCATCTCCCCACAGGCCCCGCCCACCATTTCCACTAGTATTACGAATCCCTCCCTAAGCCCCACGTTTAGGACCCTCCTACCCGACAAGCCACGCCCACCGCCAGGCTCCGCCTATCCTCTCCCACCTGCCTCGGACTCCACCCCCTCCCGGCCCCGCCCTCCCCTGGCCGAGGTCCCTCACCCCCTTTTGTACAAGGCCAGCTCGCAGTTCAGCGTCTTCAGCCGGGATCTCAGGCTCCGCTCCGACGCCTTCACCTCCTCCAGCTGCAGGAAGTGGAGGGGAGCGGCGTGGTCCAGGATGAGGCCAGCGTCCGCGCCCTGCGGGCCATACCCGCCGGCCACCCGGCCCCCTCACCTCCTTAGCCAGGCGGCGGCAGTCCTGGCTGCGGCGGCCGGCTCCCCTGTGACCCAGGCCGCGCTCCTGCCGCAGCTCTAGCTCCAGGCCGCGCACCAGCCCGCGCAGCGCCTCTGCCTCCTGGCGCGCCGCCCGCCCGGCCAGCGCCTCCTCACGAGACCGGCCCAGCTGTGCTTCCAGCTCCCGCTTCTCAGATGCCAGGCGAGACACCCTACGGGGAGCAGGTGGCGAGGACTGAAGGCGCACGGCCCCTCCAATCCTGCTTCTCCACCGGGGCTGGGCATGGCCAAACCTTTCACCTCCCCACCAAGTGGGAACGGGATCCCATCAGTCCCAGCTGCCCCCCGGGGGGAGTGGTTAAGGTGGTTATCTCCGCGGGGGAAGGGACACAGTCACATCACCCTCATTCATCCCATGAGACGGGCACGACCCCATCTCTCACACACACACACACACCCGTGAGGGGTGGGGGACACGGCGTTTGCGTTCTGATTTTTAAAGATTTCATCCGTCTGGCCATCTCTACACCATGAAAGCCTGGCCCTGAGTCCTTACTCTGGCCTCCAGGACCTTCCCAGCCAGGTCTTCCTGCTGCCTCTCACCAGCGGATTTTATGAAATGCAAATCTGACCAGGTCACTACGTGATCAAAATGCCTCTTTGAGGAAATGACATATACATAAGGCTCTTTGATGTGAAAGAGTAGAAATAACCAAAATGCCCATCAACAGAACTAGCTGAATTTCTGTGGTACTTCCAGGCAGAGTGCCAACAACTGTGGAAAGGAATGGATGAGGAGGACCTGTCTTCTGCCCCCAGGTGGTCACCAGGATACATTGTAAATCAGCACAGAAGAGTGGGTTCCAAGTCCCTTTTTATAAAAGAACGTAATTATAAATTATAGGTATGTTCATATTTTCAGAATAGAATAACTAAAAAGCTTTAAAATGGGGAAGGACTGACTGGAGATGTAGCCGTGATAAAAGTACTTACCTAGCAAGTGTGGGGCCCTGGGTTCAATCCCCAGCACCATAAAAAAAAAAAGCAGGGGGAGGAGGATTGATTACCCGTGGAAAAAGGAGGAAGAACAGGGATAGAAACTGGACCTCTCTGAATGGAAACCCCTTTTTCACTCTGACTCTAGGACTATGAAAATATTGTATATAAAGAGTTACAAGCTCTGTTACCCAAGCTGGCCTCAAACTCCTGGGTCATTTCAACATGAAGGGTTCCTACTGGCCAAAGACAAGACATTATCTACATCACAAAGAATAAATGCAAGGCTGAGGTTGTGGCTCAGTGGTTGTGGCTCACTTGCCTAGCATGTGTGAGGCACTGGGTTCGATTCTCAGCACCGCATATAAGTAAATGAATGAAATAAAGGTCTCTCAACATCTTAAAAAAAACATTTAAAAAAGAATAAATGCAATGAATGAATCTGTGGCAGGCTAAATAGTGTCCCCCTCCCTGAGAAAAAAAGATATCCCCGTCCTTTTCCCTGGAATCTGTGACTCTTAGCTGATATGGCAACAAGGCACTTATGGGTCTGATAAATTAAGGATCTTGAGATGAGATTTTCCTGGCTTATCAGGGTGGGCCCTAAATGTAATCCCAAGTATCCTGATTCAGAATCAGAGAAATGAGACACAGAAGAGGAAAGGACAGTGTGACCACAGGCAGAGACTGGAGTGAGGTGGTCATAAGTCAAAGAATGTCAGCAGACACCAGAAGTTGGAAGAGGCAACAGAGTCCCCCAGCGTCTCTGGAGGGAGCCCAGCCCTGCCGATGCCTTGACCTCAGTCCAGTGAAAGTGGTTTCAGAACTCTGGCCTCCAGAACTGGGAGACAACAAATTTTGGTGTTTTAAAGCCACCAATTTTGTGGAACTTTGTCACAGAAGCCATAGGAAACCAACACAAGATCAATTAAGTTGAAGTTCACAGAGTTTATAATGATACAAGAACAAAAGTCACTGATCTCCATGGTGAATGATAAGGAACCAATACATTATTCTGATGAAAGTTAAATAAAAGAAAGAGTTAAGCATTAATCATGCCTTTCCTGTAAAAAATGTACCTGGGGGAAACCAAATGAGAGAATGTTTTTCTTTATTGAAAACCTGAAGCTAACAAAAGCAGAAAGAACTATGGAATTAGATCACCACTTATGATCCTTGTAGTGAAAAATCAATCCAGCCAACAATCATCAATATCTGTCAAAGCTACACATTAACTCAGTTGTTCTCACTCTGACTGAAAACTAAAATCAATTAGGAAGATAAAACATTCAGATAACCACATTTTTGGCAAAATGTTGAAGTTCCCCTTTGCCATCCAAAAGGCTGGGGCGCCACCTTGTGGCCATTCTGGAAAGTGCATGTGCACACAACCCTACGCAGGAAAGAACTGATCCGTGAAGCTTCTCCTGCGTCCCACCCTGGCCTCCCCACTGTGGCTTTCCTCCCTCCCCATCCAGCTGTGCACGGCCACATGTCTCCCAGCCCCATAAGTTCCGATTCCTGGCAAAAGAGAGGACCAATCTGCTCTGTGAGCACTTGGCGCTCAGTCCTGCTGTCAACAGGGCACACCAGCAGGGAGGAGGGGCTTGGCACTGGCTGCCTGGGTCTGAGGTCTAGCTTGGCTGTATCACTCACTGTGTGACCTGGGGAAAGTCCCCTAACTTCTCTGGGACTCTATAAAATGAGGACGACAGCAGTGCCCACCTGTCTACCTCATAGGGCAGCTTTGAGAATAAAATTAATTCCCCACAAAGCATTGAACAGGGTCCCTGGCATGCAGGTAAATGCTCAGTAAGCATAGTCTCTGGTACTATTATTATTATTATTATTACATCATGTTTCCACCAGCACCAGGACTGCACGCGCTGTTCCCTTTGTCTAGAACACTCTTGCCCAACTCCTCCTAACCCGCCCCAAAGCCAGTCAGGCCCTGTCCCACCCCTCTTCACCCCATCTCTGCTTCGGGAGACAGCCTGGGTGGCCATGTGATTAGCATTCACTTGCGCTGGGCTGGGCACCACATGAGGGGCAGGGAGGGGCCAGAGACACCTGCTGAAGGTGGACTTAAGTGACTCTCGGCCTGCCTGCACACCTGCCACTTCCTCTGCCAACAGGGAGGATGAGGACCCCCTCAGGACCAGCCCCACCTACTCTGAGCCTTCAGTGTCCACAGACATTTCTGTCTCCCTCACTGGCTGGAAGTCCAAGAGGGAAAGGCCAGATTGTCGTGGTCACCGCTGTGTCCCGAGCACCACCCAGCACAAGGCAGGCACACAGGAGAGCTCAGAATGAACAGGGTGGATGAGGGATGGCACGGAGGTCCCTGCCCCCCACCCCCAGCCCTGGCCGCCCACCCCTCCCAGACTCACTGCTCCCGCAGATGCCAGATCTCAGTCTCCCGAGAGTCCCGAGCATCCTGGCCGTCCAGCCCTCGGAGGCGGCCCAGCTCCTCCTTCAGTGAGCGGATGATGCCCTGCAGGACCACAGGGTCTGGCTTGCCCTGGTACGGAAGGGGCAGCGGGTAGTGAATCCTGAAGAGGGGGATTAGAACCAGGGCATCTCAGAGGCTGAGCAGCTGCCTGAGGGTGAAACCAGGTTCTGAGAGCCAGAGTCAAAACACAACCCACGCCCCATGCCCTGCCCTGCCCTGCCCAGGCCCCTTGTACCAGCCACCCCTAGGGGCCTCTTCCACGCACTTCTGAGACCACAGGGACTAGGCCCTGGAGCAGTCTCAGGCAATTTCGTGTTGCACACTGCTGGCAGAGAGGACATGTGACCAGCCAAGCACAGTCCTAATTCAGACTCCACAGTGAGAGGTTCCGGTTGCCTGAGCTGGTCACCCCTTGGCTGAGGAAAAGGACTGCAGGTTGGTTAACTGCCCCGCCGTCTACAATTCACAGAGGACTGGCCCCTTCCCACTAGAACATCCAGCAGCCATTACCAAGAGGGGCAGACGCTGCCTTCAGCTACTCCAGAATCATTCCCAGTTCCCTTCTCCCTGTCAGAACGGCTACAAAGCCATACACTCGCTTTCCCAGCAATCCTCTACAAATGGCCAAATATTATGAGAAATCTGTTAGGAGTCTTGTGGCCATATTTTTGTTTTCCTGATAAACCAGCAAATTCAATTAGCAAACTCAGCGCTGTCCCTTTTCTACCTGCTTTAATACAGACGTAATGCCTGGAGATACAGCAGCTATTTTGTGACTGTAAGAGATAAATATGAAGTCAAAATGCCAATATCTTAAGTATGACAAAGGAAAAAATAAAACAAAAACAGCCTGAGTTTATAATGGAACTGTTGACTGGCAGTCATCTAGACATTTTGTTATGTGATAAACTGTTGCTTGTTGAAAGCACTGGCAATGGAGCCAAGCACAATGGTGTATGCCTGTAATCCCAGTGATGTGGGAGGCTGAGGCAGGAGGATGGCGAGTTTGAAGCCAGCCTCAGCAACTTAGAGAGATCTTGCCTCAAAATTAAATTAGAAGGGCTACAGAAGTAGGCAGTGGTATAGCAACCCTGGGTTCAATCCTCAGTATCTTGAAATAAATAAACAAACACTAGTAATGGTTATTCGGCTACTTGTAGCCAAACACAATAATAAATAATGTAAACCCCACACCCAAGACTCCGAAGGCAAAGCATAAATAACACCCCTGCATGATCCAGGCTCCAAGGGGTTCTTCCCCGAGCCCTGCCCACCAGCCCGGGCCTGGAGCCGGCCCCTTGTGCCCACCTGTCAAACTCCACAGAATAGATAAGGATCAGGTAGCGCTTGGAGTTGAGCTGGTTCGATCTAGGGGCCAAGGTGCTCGGGCGCCCCCCCAGCTTGCGGTTCCGCAGGGACTCCAGGTCTGTGTAGGTCAGAAGGTCTAGGGTGACCGATTCACTGCTCTATTGGAGAGGAAGGAAGAAGCTGCCCCAGGGCTGGCAGGGCCACCCCAGAGCACACACCCACACTCCCAGGACCACCTCGCCCCGGGCAGCTGGACTACCCTGCGCTGAGGCTGCGGGACAGGATCTGGGCATGCTGATCTGGGCATGCGCACAGGACAGGACTGGCGAAAGAAGCTACAAAGAACCTTCATGCTCGGGGGTGGCTTAGGTCTGTGGCTCTCTACGTGTTGTCTGCAGGACCTGGGGGCCCTCTCGGGAGCCCATGAGGCCAAAACTATTTTCATAATGATGCAAAGACTTGGTGTGCTTTCTATTTCTTCTGGGTTGATATTCACGCTAATGATGCAAAGGCAAGGGTGGCTTTGGGAAACTGCTGCCGCCTTGGCGAAATCAAACCAGCTGCACCAGTGGTCCCCAGCTTCTCCATGCCAGGCAGCCTCATCGGGCTGGGATGAGGAAGAAGAAATCAGCAAGCAAACCAACAAATTCAACACAAGAGGTGAAACAGAAACGTTCATGTGGAAGCAGTGAAACTGCTCCATTTGTTGACCCAAGACCTCCAAGTGCCCGTCTCTTCACTCTTCTGTACAAGAAATCGGGCAGGAGCCACCAGGTGCCCCTGCTGCATATCCAAGCCCTGACAGTGGCCTGCGGAAAGCCCTTGTGCAACCACGTTTCAAACCAAATAAGCCACTTTTTCATGGAATAGTATTTTTACTTGAAGGAACTGACAGACAAAACTATGGATCTTCAGAGCTGGGCACTTGGCAGGCATTTTTTCCAAAATGAACACAGTGAGCCTGTCTGCAAGGAAAACAGTATCTGAGTTGGTTGCCAATGATAAACTTCAAGCTTTGCACTTGGAATTCGAATTAGAATTTTGGAAAATTTGCCCTTGCACTATGCTTGAGGGCTTTTCCCTGTTTCAAGACTCAGCCTGTGAGATCAGTGGGGATGTTACTAAATGTCACTCCTGGCTTTCGATCATAAAATGGGTCAACATTTGAAAGGTCTGTGTAACTCAATGAAGCAATATTTTCCAAATGACCAATGTGTGATATTACAAACTCACTTAAAAAGCCACGCAGAGTACAAGATGCAGCCTCGCGTTTGCTGGGGGAAGAGGGCCTTAGGTTTGGGTTTTCTTTATTCTGCAGTGCTGGAAACCAAACCAGGGCCTTGCACATGCTGCTTGAGCATTCTGCTCCTGAGCTCCAGCCCCAGCCTCAATTAACAGGTCTGAATCTTTTTAAAGCAACAATATAAGTTCGCTGATGAGATTTCAGATTCCACACTGCAACTAACCTTCAAGAAACTACACTTGTCCAGTTTTAGTGTTAACAAAGATGAATAATCACAACTATTTGAAAAAGCTATTAAAATACTACCTTTTCTAACTATGTACCTGTGTAAGGCAGGATTTTTCTATATATTCTTCAACCAAAACATAGCACAAAAGACTAAATACAGGAGCATGTGAGAATCCAGAATTTTCTATCATGAAGCCAGACATTAAACAGATTTGCAAAAATGTAATTTTTCTTTTAGAAAATGTATTTTTCATTAAAATGATATTTAGGTTAACATAAAGGTTTGCTATTGCTATTTCTAAATGAACTCATAAACTCCTTTAAATTTGTTTTAATTCCTAATATGATAAATAAATATTGATAGATAGAATCTATATAAACAAAAGCTCTTTGGTGTCCTCCACAGTTTTTAAGAGTATAAAGGAGTCATAAGATCAAACAGTTTGAGAACCACTGGGTTATATACATCATGATGCATGCGTACAATATTAAGCAACCACTAACAAGGATGATAAATTCAAAAGTTGATAATAATAAAAAACTGTATCTGTATACCTGTTATGATTAGCCAACATTTTACATATAGTAACTCATCATCTTCACAATATTATGAAATGGGAACTACTATTATTCCCAGTTTATAGGCATTGAGGAGGAAGTGACTGGCTGAGTTCCCATCTAGGAAGTGGCAATAGTAAGTCTGAATTCAAAGAAAAATGTTACAGTCTGGACGGAGAATAAAAAGGGAATTATAAAGGACTCTGAGTCATGCTCAAATATCTTCACAGTTTTATGAGGGCATATTTTATCTGTAATCAGAGAAACAATATGGTTCATAATTTTTAAAAATATCTAAGTACCCTCTGTATCCTAAGTTATAACCTGCTTTTGTTCTCCCATTAATACTTTTAACTACTTGACATTATAAATTTTTTTCAACTGTCTGTCTCTCCCACTAGAATGTCAGCAGCAGAGACCTGGTCTCCCGGGTTCACTGCTCTACCTCTAGTGCCTGCGACAGTGCCGGGCACCCTGTAGATGCTCAGCAAACGAAATGAACAGACTATTAAACTCTCTGATGGGACTAAATTCCTATGAAATATTGTTGAATCTTTTAAAGGTTGGTTGTAAGCCAGGCATGGTGGCACATGCCTGTGATCCCAGCAGCTCGGGCAGAAGGATCGTGAGTTCAAAGCCAACCTCAGCAACTTAATGAGGCCCTAAGCAACTCAGTGAGACCCTGTCTCTAATAAAATATAAAAAAAAGGGCTGGGGATATGGCTCAGTAATTAAGTGTCTCTGGGTTCGATCCACAGTACCAAAAAAAAAAAAAAAAGTTGGTTGTAGAATACCTTGGAAAATATATCCACTCATTGTCAATTACAGATCTGCCAACACAGAGGTGGGGGAAGGGGAAAGAAATGAAGAAATGGCTGGGGCAACTTTCACCAGAAATATTAACAAAGGTGCATACTAGTAGCAGAATGGTTTTCTTCTTTATATTTCTGTAATCTGAATTTTCTACATAACTATACTTAGAATCAGAAAATCCACTTAAATTGAGAAAGAAAAAGCCCAATCCCTTCAATGAAGGAGACAAAGGGTCACATAAACATCACATGGGCCTCTACCCCAGAACCAACCCCTAACCCTCAATGCCTGGTCCCTACCTGGGTGAGGGCCGACTCCAGCATGTTACAGAAGATGTTGAACTGTTTGAAGTTCCCTGTCTTATGAGTCAAATCTTCAATGACTGGGTGGGGGGAAAAAAGTCCCTCTTGGTATCTGACCACTTGCCCAACCCAAGGGTAATACATCCTAGCCCTCAGACTCTACCCAGCTTGGGTGCCTCTGGCCTAGGGCATGAGACCTCCCCACCTTGGGAGCTCTGGTCAGATAGAAGAGGCAGGCAGGCAGAACTAGGGGGAACCTCATCTTTTAGGGAAAGCTGGCCCTAGGGAATGGGAGGCGAGCCCACCCAAGGGAGGCACACTCACAGCTGGCATCGAACTCGCCGCGCCACTGGTCGGCTGTCATCCGGTCCTCCACCTCCAGCTCCAGCACCTGCCCAGAAACCACCACCCGCACAGCATGCTCCACACCCCGGAAGACGTAGTCCACCTGAAGGCCAGCGGGCTGGTCCATGGCCAGGGTCACTGGAGAGAGGGATGAGACAAGAGACCCAGAGGGGCTGAGAGGCCAGACTTTCGAGCTGAAGACCATTCCTATCCTGGGTTCACCACTTACCAGCTGCACCTTGGGAAAATGAGTTCACTTCTCTCTGAGCCTCAGTTTCCTCATCTGGAAAATGAGTGTAACTGTGCCCCCTACCTCACAGAGTTAGCATGAGGATTCAACTCAACAACATACATAAAAGCTCCAAGAACTCTGTCCCCACACTACTGTGCCCAACACAGGCTGGCTAGCAAGAGTGGGTGACACCCATAGGTAGGTCAGTCAGGACCAGTACTACTGATTATTACTTATTCATTAATTCGGCAAACATTTGTGGAGAAAAATTAAACTGGAGAGGGAAATATTGGGGTTGGGCAGGTCAGAGAAGGCCACTCAGAGTAGGTGACAATTGAGCAGAGACCTGAACAGGTGAGAAGGCCAGAAAATGTTATCACATCCAAGGAATAGCCACTTCCATATGTTATATATGATATACTGAAAATATTAACACCGATTTAATAATTGATTTTATTAATTAGTCTATTATAAGCGTAAATGCCTTCTCCTAGCCAACAGAGCTACTACTCTTATGTTAGGTCAACAAAGAGCTAGCTGGAGGAGACTCCCAGGCCTCTGCCCTCCACCCGGGAGTCCTAGGGGTGGTTCAGAATGGGGGCCTGGGCTGCCTGAGTTCCCATCCAGGTCCCACCTGCTCATGAGCAAGTTAATTACTCTCTCCATGAGTCAGAATCCCAGCCATGAAGCAAGTGGCATCCTGGATGATGGGGATGTGATAAGAAACCAGGCTGTATCCATGCCCAGTGGGGCAGTCAGGTATATAAACATGCCAATGGTGGAGAATGGGGCCAATGATGGGGAAGGGGCTGCTCTGTAGCTAAGATGGCCAGGAGAGGCCTCTCTGAGCAAAGGCCAAGGGAAGGAAAGGAGGGAGGGAGGGAGATGGCTATCACTGTCCAGGCAGAGGGAAAGGCCCCTGTGAGATGTTCCTGGTCTGTTCAGCAGGGAAGCTGGCAGTCTGCAAGAGAACGAACAGGGGAGGGGGCTGAATGATGAGATCTGAGATGTCACAGGTGGCCAGATGATGATCACACAGGCAAGCCTACAGCTGGCTAGCAGCACCGCCTCCTTGGACTGGTGTGAGGATTAAATGAGTGAAGTGTGTTGAAATCTTTGGCAAAATTCAGCAGCGACTGACACATAGCACACATTCCATGCATACTAACCCTGCCATCATCTTGCTGTTATTATCTTATTGTTGTTTCTGGGGCTCCCAGAATACCACACCCTAGGCCCATCCATTGATCCCCTATCCCAGAGGTCCAAGGACAACTGCCTGAACCCCAGGGGTCCTAAAAAACACCTCTCTGTCTCTAGATCTGAGCTCTTAACTTTATTTGGGGGAAGGGTCTCTAGTGCTTTTTGTAAAGGCTCATGATATCTGGGAGTCTCTTTCCCCAGAAAGCTCAGAATCCAGATATTGTGCTTTTATTTTCTGGAGATTCAGGTATTGAACTAAAAATCCCTGATTTCCCTGCAAGCAGATCGCTGCACATTTCAACAGATTCCTCATTTTCTGACCCTTAATACCGTGCCTGGCAGCGCAGGCCCCACCCCACCGGGAGTACAGGACCCCGCCCTCAGGCCCCGCCCACAGACCCCGCCCCTCAGACTCCACCAGCCAATCAGCGGGCGCGCCATCCCCGTTACCAAGGCACCGGAGGTTACTAAGGCGTTGGAGGAACCCGCGGAACACCTAAGAAGCCACGCAGCATCACCGCCCCCACTCGTGGCACCTGAGAGGAAGGGGTCCGCCACACGCCATCCCTACCGCCAACCCGGCCCTGCCCTCCTTTCCCCACTCCACCACATAAGCCCCCCATCCTCACCCCGCGACAGCAGCGGCCCCTCTCCGTGCTCAACTGTCTGATGTCCTTAGCTCCCATCCAGTCACCTCGGTCCCAGCCATTCAGCCTCGGAACAATCTGCCTGAATCCAACTCGCCCCTACACCACACACGTGCCTCCCCACTGCCCATCTCTTCTGGGAAGCAAAAGTGTCCTTAGCGGCTGATGACAAACATCTCACACTTCTGCCAGCTCCACCCTCACTCCCTAGATGGCCACCGGATTCTAGCTCGGCTTCCCCTTCTCTCTGCAGAATCTCGCTCCCTCCATGTCCCAGCCCTCTCCCCTTGTGCTGTTCCCCAGAAACCAGTCCCCTCTCCCCTCCAAAGTCTCCTATTTGCATCCATCTCTCACTGATTGGGGGGTGGGGGAAACTGTCACACTGCTTCTCCCTACACCAGTCCCCCCATCTTCCTAGGGTTCCCCACATATCCCACCAGAATTCTCCCTCCCCAAAAAAAAATCATTTCGCCAGGATTCTGCCCGCATATTTATTCAAGGTAACCCCACTTTTAGCCTGTATTCTATCGTCCCATATTTCCCCTGGATTCCTCCCAAATTGTATATAAAGCCCCCTCTCCACTGCACACACATTTCCCACCTCTCTTCCCTTCGGAGAGCCTTCCCAGAACACCCCCGCCCCCACTTATGGGATTCCCCGGCCCTAAGCAAAGCCCCCCTCCAGCCCCACCCTATCCCTCTACCTGCAGCTTCCATCTTCGCTGTGTGACCAGTGGCCCATCCTGATTGTTGATTTCATTCCAGTCCCAAGGTTCTCCCAGCTCCTCTTCTCTGCCTCAGCCTCCTGACCCTGCATCCCAGCAGCGCGTTCCAGGCCCCGCCCTCACCAACTCATGACGTCACCCCCCAACCCTGCACGTGTGTGGGCACCCCAGCACCCCATTCTGGCCCACACTCCTGACCCCAGTGTTCAGGGTTCATGACATCAAACCTCCAGCTCACTGCACACTCGATTTCCCAGTCCCCAGCCCTCCCTTCACTAAGGTGACCCCTTCTCCTTTCCAGTGTTACATCACCGCTCCTGGCTCCTCCTCCCCAACTGCACTACCCGGCTGGCAGACTTCACAGCTCTCACCCAGGGTAGGAGCTGCGAGCCCTTCTCACTGGCTCCCCAAAGACAAATCCACACCACTACTCCCCACACCAAACATGGGCAAACCCCAACCCCGGGCAGCCGCCCCTCCCTCCATGGCTGTTGGCCCACCCTCTGCAGCCCCTGTGACCACCACACATCCCAGCCCAGCCGTGAACTCACTGGCTTCTCCAATGCAGCGTACCCCCCATCCCTCACACATCTGTGGCCTGGCCTGGATGACACCCCTCTCCCCTATTCTGAATTCCCTTCCCCTTCACCCCTGCACTTCCCCAAACACAAAACCTTCCACTGCCCCCTGGAATATATAAAAACAAAAGTCCTTTAGTGCACCCCACAGCCCCCAGTGCCTCCCAGGGTGTCCATACTCCACTTGTACTGTCCTTCAAATGTGTTTTGATAAGGACCAAGCATGCTTATAACCCTGGGACTCCCTTAATTCTCTGGCAGGTTTTATAACCATCCCCATTTTAGAGGATAAAGCTGAGGCTTGCTTTCGACTCCACAGCGAGGCAGCATTCATACCCTACTCATTGTCCAGCTGCCTTTCCCTGACCACCTGCCCTTTCCTCCCATAACTCTGCTCCTGTCTCAGCCCTAACCTAAATGTGGCCTCGTGTATAAGGATGGTACTTGCTGCAGGCTGGGGATTCCTGGGTTCAGATCCCAGCTCCTCCCTTACCCAGTGTAATCTTAAGCAAGGCACTTGACATCTCTGGGCCTTTCCCCATCAACACAGGGAGATAAGCACTCCTGTCTCACTGGATTGTGGAGATTAAGTTTGTTAATGCATTCAGGGTGTGTCAGGTGCCTGACACTGGATGTTACCAATATGATCCACTGATTGACAGACCAGAGTGTCATTTTGATTAATCTTACATTATCAGTACCCTGGCATGGCATAGATTAGGGAATGCTTGTCAATTTGATGGGAGATGCCAGGGAACAGGTCAGAGGCACTGTGGATACAGCCCAGGTCTTCTCCCCTCAGCTCACTCCCAATCACTCGCCTGGTCTCAGTTCCAAGGCCCTCTCATGTGGAAGCCCTCCCGACTCCCAGGTTAAGTCAGGGGCTGTCCTGATAACCAGTATCCCACCACCCCAGTCCTGGCCCTGCCCAGCAGGGGATCAGCCTAAGAGAAGGAGCTTGATGTAGAATGAAGCAGCCTTCTCCAACCCAGGTTCTGAACAGGACTCACAGCATTTCTCCAAAGGAGCTGAGGACTGTGGAGCATCAGCATGACCTTAGGCCCCTATGGAAATGCAGGCTCCTGGGCCTGGTCCCCACCTGCAGAAGCACAATCTCTAGGGTGGGCCCAGGAATCTGCATTTCCTATAAGCTCCTTCAGACACTTAAGTTGTTAAGACTCTCTGCCCTCAGGCACCCGATATGCCCAGTTTTTTACCCCACTCCCACCACCAAACAGAAGTTCAGCAACCTGCCCCATACCCAGGGAGACCAGAGGAAGGGTGCTAATGGTGGCATCACAGAAGTAACACTGTTCACACACCTACATGCTCTTCCAGGGGCCACCCAGAGCCAAACACTCTAGTGAGCAGGTCTGAGAAGCCCAATGGACATAGACAAATTATCGCTATCCCACGGTGGTTAGTGTTATGGAGAAAAACAAAGCCCGGTATAAGGCCAGGAAGTGACAGGAGCTTTCTTAGCTTGAGTGGTCAGCAGGGCTTGTCTATGAGGTTGACATCTGAATAGAGACCTGAAAGAGGGGAGGGGGAAGCCATGTAGACATGGGGCAGGAGCCTGATCCAGATGGAGGGGATGGCAAGCACAAAGGCCCTGAGGTGGCAATGTATTTGCTATGTCCAAAGGTTAGTAAGGAAGCCAGGGTGGCTGCAGTAATGGGGCAGGGGATCTGGGAATGGTGGGAATTGAGGGGAGGGTGGAGGAGGAAGCTGGATTGCTTAGAGATCTGGTGGGGACTTTTGCTGAATGAAGTGTGAGCCAGAGGGGCCCTGAACAGGAATGACATGATCTGACATTTGTTTCAACAGGATCCCTTGACTTTGGGGGTCAAGGACAGATGCAGGGAGCCCAGTGAGGATGCCACGCAACAGAGCAGGGAAAGCCAAAGATGGCTTGCACCACAGGGGCAGCAAAGGTGCCAGTGAACTGGTTGAATCCCATCCAGACTACAATGATGGGTGGACCGTGTATGTGGGTGAGAGAAAAGGGAGGAGTGACAGGCAACTTCAAAGGTGACATCAGCTGGGTTTGGAGGCTGAAGGGGATAAACAACAAGTTTGTTTGGGCCAAGTTCCAGTCTGGATGTAAGCTATACCTTCAAGTACAGCACAGTGGGCCCTGGAGTCCAGGGCAAAGGTCCAGACTGGAAAAAAGACAGCTGGGAGTTATCACTGGGTAAAGAGAGTGAGGCTACTAGGTGAGGAGACAGGTCCTTCTCAGGATGATGAAACTAAACAACTTGCCAAAATCATGTGATGTTCAGGGTCAGCAGCAAAACCCAAGATTCAAACTCCAGCAACCAGACGCCAGAACTCAATCTTAACCACTGGGAGGGCTTGTTAGGAAGTGTAAGAGTTCATGCAGGGGTTCGGTGCAGCTCAGTGATAGAGCACTTACCTAGCGCGTGCAACCCCTGGATTCCATCCCCAGAACAATCGGGGAAAATAAGTTAATACAACATAGTAAACGCTACATGTGATATGCTTCACATGTCACAAAGCATACTCAGATCCCTGGAGGTTCCCTCTCCCTCAACGTTGTTTCTTCGCAAGCCCTCCACCCAAAGTTTCTAACCCACCACAGGGAACCGGTCCGCCCGCCCATCCACCCCGCGCTGGAATAATGCTCTGCCTTCAAACCTCTCATTAAATCGCAACGCTGTATTACAAGGGGATCTCTAAATCCCACCATCTGCCGTCTCCTGCATTAAAATCTCCCCTTTAAAGACCCTCCTATGCAACACCCACCCCCGACTCACCTACTAACCTCTGCCCCACAACCCCTCATTCAACAGCCTACCCGGGTTAAAGGGCACCCCCTGCCGATTCCCACACTGCCGGGTCAGCTGCCCGCCGCAGTCCCCTCTCCCCAGAGAACCCCTCCCCCGCGAGATCGCCGCCCCAGTCCGCGCACCCGCCGCGCCCGCCGCCTCTCACCTTCTCCGCGGACACCCCTCCTCGCGAGCGGTTCAACTGCCGAAGCACAGGCCCCGCCCCAGGATCCGGCCCTCTCACTTCTGATTGGTCCTAGCTTACCCGCAGTCAAATTTCCATTAGTCAATAAAGGCATCAATCACTCTGTCCCGCCCCAGAAGAGAACCCTCCCACTCAAAGCTTATGATTGGTTAACTTCGAAAAGGTGTTCCTAAATGAGTTTTGGGAGAACCCCCATCGTCTGTCTCATCCCTAATCACTACTGGTTAATGCTACTGCCAATCATATAAAAGGGTTGTTCCCTGAAGTAGGGTCGAGGGAGGATCCCGGAAGTAGCCTCTTGGTTCCGCCCACCACGCCTGTGGCGGGGTAGGCCTCGCCCACCAGAAGGGGAGGACTTGTAGAGTCGCTTGTGCATGCGCACTGGAAGGTCTTGGCCGCGGTCCGGAAGCTGCGGGAGGGTTTCTAGCGTCCAGATGGGTTGTTGCTTCTGATCGCTCAAAGTGGTTAGTACATCCCAGGCATGCACTAACCACTTTGCAGGCCTTGGCTTATTTAAAGTTTATAACAACCCGGCAAAGCAGCACTATTATGACCTCCATTTAACCACCAAGGTAACAGGCTCAGAGAGGTATAGCTACTATCCCGGACCGCAGAGCTTGTGACCCCTATTTCAAGCCCGTGAGTCATCAAGAGGGAGGATTCAGCTCATATAATTGAGGGGGTGGGCCCTCTTTAAAAGAATACAAAATCACAAACTGGATAGGAATATGAAAATTAACTTACAATGTGAAATAATAACAAATTAAAGAGAGCTGAGAAATAGCACAAACATTGCAAAATCCCAAAGGGTAATGTAACGTTTTTGTTAACTTACTGCCTGACGCACCTCTAAGACATGTTTTCTAATTTTTGAGCTGCATACACACTTCATAATATCCTTATGTACAGTGGAAAGAGAAAAATTAATTGCCTCTTACTTGGCTGATGGAGCTTTTGTTATTATTCATTATAATTTAGAAAAAATCCCAGCTTCACAAATCAGTATTGGTGATCTCATCTGAATTTTTTGGAAAACTTTCATAAAGTTTCATTCATATGTTAGCTACATAGTTTAGAAAATGTTTTCACAGACTAGCTTCTGGCTCAATCATTTCAATTCTTGACTCACTTCTCTTACACAAGAGCTTCTAGGTAAGCCACGAAGGGACACATTCATGCCACACTAGACACTGGCTTGGCACCTCGTGTTTGTTTTCTAAATGGTACTAAACATTGAACCCAGGGCATTCTGCCATTGAGAAACATCCTCATATTCCTCCCCACACCCTCCCACCCTCTTTTTTTTTTTTTTTTAATAAATTTTGAGAGGACGTCTTTGTAAATAGCTGAGGCTGGCCTTGAACTTGCAATCCTCCTGCCTCAGCCTCCCAAATTGCAGGGATTACAGGCATGGGCCACATGCCTGACTCCTAATACGTTATTGAAGCATTCTTAGAAGCCATTCCTACACCAGAATGAGCTACATAATTCAAGTAACTGCCCAAGGCTATTCCAACACCATTCATGGCAAAAGGATGCACAACCAAGGGGAAGTATTCCTGGGGAAAGACAGTGGTCTTAACCAATTGAACTTTAAATACTTCCCCTTTGCAAATTTTACAAGAACATCAGACTGTAGGAAAGGTCTATACAAATCAGGTGCCCTGAAACTTGGATAAGCTTTACTATAAAGCTACCCCTAAATGCAGTAATCATGCATTTATTGAGTATTTACTATGTGCCAGGGACTAGTGTCAGAGAAAAGCATAATACCAGTCCTGATATTGCCACCAACTGGTCATGGAGCCCTTTTCCCTCTCTAGGTATGAGTTTTCTAGCTTGTAAATTGAATATCGTTAAAAATCTAACATTTAGGGTTATTACGTATCCAAGATATAAAGTTCACAAAATAGACCAGTTAAAACCTTGATCTCTGCTGTCAGAGAAATGCAGATTAGGATCTAGACCCTTCTCTGACCAGTTGTGGGATGTCTCACAAGTCACGGCTCTCCTGTGAAATTTCCTTTCTTCGTCTGTAGTTGGATTTTGATTCATTTATTCATCAAACATTTCTTGGCACCTGCTATGTTCCAGGCACTTTCTGGGTGGTGGAAATGCATGCTTAGTGAACAAACAGAAAAAGTCCATCCCTAGTAATAGGGAGACAAATAAAAACAATAAATAAATGTCAGGTGGTAAGTGCTACAAAGAAAACAAAGCAAAGAGGACAGGATGATTGGGGAAGGTGACTCAGAGAAGCTGACTGAGAGCAGAGATCTAAAGGAAGTAAATGAATGACCAGCAGAGAATGATCTTGTAACCCAGCAACTCCACTTCTAGATCTATCCCCAAGAAAATTGAAAACAGATGTTCAAATAATTATTTGTGTATGAGTGTTCATGGCAACACTATTTACAATGGCTAAATTGTGGAAACAACCTAAGAGTCTGTGAATAAATAAACACAATGTGGTATATCCCTACAATGGAATAGTATTCAGCCATAAAAAGGAATGAAAACTGATACACACTGTAGCATGGATGAAGACACTATGCTAAGTGAAAGAAACCGGACCCAAAGTGTGATATAGTCTATGATTCAGAATAGACAAGTCCAGAGAGACAGAAAATAGATTAGTGATGCCAGGCACTGGCCAGAAGAAGGAGCAGGGAGTCACTGTTAATGGGTGTGAGGTCTCCTTTAGGATGAAGATGACGTTTTGGTACTAAATAAGAGGTAATAATTGAACAGCGTTGTGAACATGCTATCATACACTTCAAAATGGTTAATTTTATTGGATTTTCCCTTGATAAGAAAAATTAAGCAAAAGATAAAAGAATAATTCGAATGAGAGATGATGGGGGCTTTTCCGAGGGCGGCAGCCGTGGAGGAGGTGGTGACAGTGGTTAGAATCTGCATATATTCTGCAGGTAGGGCTGACAGGATTTGCTGATGGATTGGGTGTTGGGAGACAGAAAGAAAGAGAGGAGTCAAAAAGGATTCCGAAGTTCCTGATCAGAGAAGCAGCTGCCAAGAGGAGGTTTCCATATATGGAAGCTCGATGAATGGGGGGTGGAGCATGGGGATGGGGAGGTTGACTTTGGACCTGTGGAGGTGCCCGATGGCTTTCCAGGTGGGAACGCGGAGGGAAGAGGTGAACAGATGGGTCTGGTCCAGCTTAGAGAGTGGATATGGACAGAGAGACAGGCAGACAGACAGACAAATCCAGGAGTTCATCACCAAAGGAGTGAAGAGGACCAAGCCAAGACCTTCAAACCCTCCAGTATTTAAAGACCCTGAGGATGAAGAGGAAACCAGAGAGAAAACTGCAAAGGACCAGCCACTGAGTGGAGAGGGGAATCAGGAGAAAGGGGTCCTGGGTGCCAGGGAGGAAAATAAACCAAGATGCATGTGACCCTTAGGATGTGGGAGTGCTCATGTGATATCAGGGCAGATCATTGGAGGGTTGGATTGAGCCACGTGGAGGTCACTGACAACCTCATTGAGAGCGGATTTGGCCAAGTGGCGGGAGCCAAAGCCTGCTTGCAGGTGTCTCAGGAGATTGGGAGAAGAGGAATGGAAGACATTAGAAGACACCTTTTCTGAGAGTTTTGTTGTAAAGGGCAGCAGGACACTGGAGCTAGAGCTAGACACAGAGGGCTGAAGACACATGCTCATATTAGAACCTGTTTGTTTATTTGTTTGGTACCAGGGATTGAACCCAGGGGTGCTTAACCACTGAGCCACATCCCCAGCCCTTTTTATTTTTGATTTCGAGACAAGGTCACACTAAGTTGCATAGGACTTTGCTAAATTGCTGAGGCTGGCCTCCAAATCATGATCCTCCTGCCTCAGCCCCCTGAGTCACTGGGACTACAGATCTGCACCTGCCGTGTCCAGCTACAATTTGTTTTTATGCTAATGAGAATGATCCAGGAAACAGGGGACAACTGCTGGTGCAGGAGAGATGTCCCTGGGCACACGAGTGCACACAGTCACCTTGGCCAAGTGACTCCCCACTTGGCAGCAGAGCAGGCAGACAATAGCCCCAGATGCAGGCTGGTGTGGGGGGAACCTGGGAAGGTTTTTCAACTGATGGCTTCTCCTCTCTCTGGGAACTGGGAGCGGGGTCAAGGATGAGAGGGAGGATGGCAGGAGGCGGAGGCGCAGGTGTGAAATACATTTGCAGGATGGTGGGGGGGTGAGGGCCAGGCAGCCCCAGGCTGAGGTCAGGTGTGAGGTCATGGTGAGCCCCCTCTCACTGTGAGCTCTTCTCCAGCCGCATTCAGCAGGTGCACAGTGAGTGCAGAGTTCAGCAAACTGTTTGGAGCCCACAAAAAAAAAAAAAAAAAAAAAAAAAAAGGCTGGGAATGGTACATGGTAGCCAGAAATGATGGAAAGGAACGCAGCAGTGATAATCAGAAATTCCTGGATCTGGGAAACTGGACTCTGGAGGTCCAACCCTGTCACTTTATAGACAGTGCAACAGGCTCAGAAGAGGTCCCTTCCAAGTTTTATACATTCTACCTTGATTTTTTTTTTAATGTAAGATGCTATCATCATCATCATCATCATCATCATCATCATCATCATTATCATCATGCTTGTAAAATGTCCCAGATGGTGCTGGATGTGGTGGTGCACACTTGTAGTCCCAGCTACTCAGGAGGCTGAGGCAGGAGGATCGCTGGAGCCCATGAGTTCAGATTACCTTTTAATTTGTTCATCCGAATCCCGCACAGAATTTCTCTTCCAAGGTTGGACTTGTGTCCTCTTGAACACATTTTGATGTTCCTTCTGACACCATCCAGAGGTAACCCTCTCAACTAGAAAAACAAAAAAAATGTTGTCAATAACCAGCATCCCATAAACATTTGTATTTGGACTTGATTGTGTTTCTTTGAAATTCACTCACTCACTCATTCATTCCTTTGTATGGAGGTCCTGGGAATCCAACCTGGGCATAATGCATTCCAGGGAAAGTCTCCACCACCCAGCCCCATCCCC